CAGTCCCCGCCGCAGTGGTCACGTGAAATAAGAACCAGACGCACGAAAGAAATAGGAGCATTAAAAATCAACCATCTACCATTAACACCAAAACACACACTCGGCAGGTCATCTTGGTTCATCATGCGTGACAAAAAGCCGCAGTTTACTTCTCCTTCCTGGCACGTGGTTTCTCCTGACATCGTATTCCTTGGGGAGCAGCGCCCATCGCGCTAGCTTTCTCCTAGTAGTTTTGGTCGACTTAATCCATTTCACAGGTTTGTGGTCCGGTTTTACGTGGAATCGCTGACCTAGAAGATACGGACGCCATTAGTCTAACGCCCAAACAATTGCTAGACTTTCCTTTTCTACGGGTATGTTTGCGTTCTGCCGGTGTCAAAATTCTGCTGGAGTACTCAGTCGTCCTGTGACTTTGTTTCAAAACTGCGCCAACTCCGACATCGTTGGCATCCGTGGCCACCGTGAACATCTCCTCAGTAATGAGTAACTTCAGCGTCAGCTCCTGTCTTCCCATTTCTTATAGAATGCGATCAAGGGCTTGCTGGGCTTCTGTAGTCCAAGGGAATTTCTCATACTGTTTCAGCAGCTCATACAAGGGTAAGGCCAAATTGTCAAATTTCTCGACGAATTTGCTGTCGGATCCAGCATGACCGAGGAACGCTCCGAGAGTGCGCTTCGTTGTGGGGACTAGGGTACCTTGTATTGTCAATATTTTCTCAGGCAGTTGCTTCAGTTCACCCTGTTCTCCTTTGTGACCAAATAAGGTGACATAAGTCTTTCTAATCTGGAATTTCGGTCCGTTTATACGGAGTCGCGACTGCTGATTCCTTTCCAAGACTTTTGAGATGACCGAGGTGCTCCGCTTCAGATTTACTATACGCAACAATATCATCCCTGTGCACCGCCACGTTCTCCAAGCCACACAGTAAGCGCAGCATTAAACATCGGACGATAAACGGGGCTCCCAACAATCCAAAAGACATCGTTTTAAATTCGTATTGTTTCTCACCGACGGCAAACACCGTATTTTCTCGATCGTATCGTTTTACCGCCAGTGGCTACTATCCCGATTTCCGATCCAGAACCGTGAATATCCTTGACTGTTGCGATCTGTCAGAAATGTCAGCAACTTCTGGCGGATTAGCGAGATGGTGTGCTCGACCCAGTTGCCAAATCCATACGGTCCGCCATCATCAGCAAACAAAGGATGAGTGTTTTAACCCGGTTCTTCGTCGCACCGCGTGTAATACGGATTAGTACGACCTTTTCTAGTGGGATGAACAAACGTGAAACAGAATGGTATCCCGCACGGAGAGGTGCTGACAGAACTAGATTTCGCGAAACCCGGACGACATAAAGTTAAAAAGTTCTCCTAGACCGAATACAGACTTCACCGGTTATTCCGACGCAGAGAGATGAGAACAAAACGCAGACCGGTCGTTTGCCTGTTCCCTGGGCTTGACAATTTTGTTGCAAATGTTTCGTTACCAATCGAGGTGACACCAATAGTGTGCAGTTGTGTAGCGTGCGCTATCGTAGAGGAGCCTCGGTGGGAATACGCTGAGCATGGTGTGCGTGCATTTTTATACCGCCGTGGATGCCCTTGTCGACAAGCAATCCTTCGCTCCGCGTTCAGTTCGGTTGATGGGCAGATGACCTTCGACCTTGACCCCTTCTGTTGCTTGGCCTTTGTCTGCTTGCTCTTGTGAGCGCGTCTACCGTCAGTCCTGATCGTCTAGCCACACGTTCCACCGGGTTTAATCGATCGAGTTGGCGATCGTTCGCCAGTATTGTTGCCTATACTGCGTCCAGTTCGATGTGTCGATCGATTGCACTCGTTGTAGAGTCCCAGGCTTCCAAAAACTCCCTCGCACGTTTTGTACTTCCATGTGCTAGGATCCTTACATTCTCCAGGTCGAAATGTTGACCTTCTTGATCCTCATGCGCGGAAATCAATGCGTGCGGATCATGCCCTCTGACAGCCGCCTTGTTTTCGGTTATTCGTGTGCAAAGATTTCTCTTAGTCTGTCCGACGTAGTGTTTATCGCATTCGCTGCATTTCATCTGGTAGATGACATTGCATTGGTCGGCTTGATGGACTTCTTCTTTGGGTCTTGAGATCATTTTCCTTTGGGCAGCACTTGGTTTGTGAGCCACAGAGATTCCATGTGACTGCAGTAATCTTCCTGTTAGTTCGGAGACGTCCTTGAGGTAGGGACCACTATCTGTTTATCTGCTTGCTCAGGTGACTGCTGCTGCTGGTGCTGAGACATTCGTTTTTTTAAGCTTCTTCTGATGAAATTCCTCGGATAACCGTTGTTTCTAAACACTCGATATAGATGATTTGCTTCCTGTTTCCACGATTCGACTGTGGTGCGGTGCGTTTCCGCTCTTTCGAACAGTTTGAATGCAGCTCTTCGTATGATTTTCTTCCGATATACGCACGTTTGCGGAGATTCGTCGGTATTCCTAGTTACCAGTACATCAAAAAGTGGTAACTTGTTAACCTCCTCTTATTCCATCGTAATGTGCCGTTGAGCAAACCGTGCGTGGCCTGTACTCTGTTCCGTTTTACGATGACAGATGTGTTGTCCACGTATCGTAGTTAGTTTTGGGCTGATAGCAGTGCAATGCGCTTCAGTTTCTGCATTACGGCTTCTGCAATGAGCGCCGAACTTGGGGATCCCATGGGTGTTCTTCTCAGTTGCTGGTACATTCGTCCAATAAAGCGGAAGTAAGTGCTCATGCAGAGGTGCAGGAGTTCCCAGAAACTTTCAGGTCGTACGTTTGTCATTGGGCTTAGTTGAGTCTCAACTAGTTCCTTCGTGATTTCTTCGACCACTTCGTGACTGATTGAAGTGAGGCGTGTGCTGACATCGAATGAAAGCATTATTTCGTCGTCTTCTATTCTGACACTCCGTATTTTGATGAGGAATTGTTCAACATTGTTGATGCTATGTTCGGATCCAACACTCAAATGTTTCAAACTCCTACACAAATCATTCGCTAGTTTAGATTATGGGGTTCCGGAGATAGAGACGATTGGTCGTAGTGGAACTCCATTCTTGGGTACTTTTGGTAGCCCACAGCACAGTGCAGTGTTTGTATCATCAGCTTTCACTCACCATCTGTCCATAGCGGTGAGCTCGTTCTTTTTTGTAGTTTCTTCAGCGTTGCGTTGATCTGGGTGGCCGGTTTTGAACTTGGATCTTGATAGATCTAGCGATATGTAGTTCTGTCGGATAGAAGTTCATTGGTCTTGTTAATATACTCCGGTTTGTCCATTATAACTGTCATGCGCCCATTGTCCGCTGGTATGGTTACAATATTCTCGTCCTACTATAGACGTCTGAGTGCTTCCTGTTCCTCCTTGGCTAGGATCTGGGTGACTTTATTCCGAGTTATCAGTGGGACAACTCTCTGCCGTATCTGTTGCTGAGACTCCTCCGACAGTCCAGTTGATTTCAATGTGTACTCTAAGCTAGCCAAGTAGTCTTTGGGGCATGCAGCTTTAACGTTAAAGTTGAGCCCATTATTCAAGACATCCTTTTCAGTTGCAGTGAGGTGGTGGCGTGGAAGGTTCTTGATCCATTCTTCACTGTTGGCGCAGCTATTTCACGTAGTCAGTTTGACTGTGTTCAATGCAATCTTGCGTCGGTTCTTTGTGCTTTTGACTCGACGTTCAATTTCGGATTCCAACACTGTTCGTAGCTGTGGGTCAACAGTACTGAGGCAATTGGTCTTATTATCGATTATGACTTTCTCATATTTGCATGGGCGGTTATGGGCCTCTATTATCATCATTTTGACCAGCTGCACCGTTACATGGCGGCTGTTCTTGCCACTCTTACCTGTGCATCTTAGGACGGTAACCTTATTTTCTCCCTTGTGGTTATTTACCTATGTTCTACTTCGTTTCCTTGTTTTTAATTCTCCATCCTCTTTGTCATTTGTATTGTGGAACCATGAGTGACAGTAAGTTTAACCGGTGTTCGGGACATCGTTGGTTGCTTCAGCTGACCTGGGCTGCATGCGAGCAATGACCGCTTAAAAACCTTTGTACATATTTTTGTAGGCGCCTCTCTACTTCAGTTTTTCAGTAGTGTCTTTATTCATAGTTATTTTCTAACGAACACTGACAGTCTCCCCATGTAGCGCTATTTCGTAATCGGTCACTCAAAGTCGCTACGCTATTCAACCGATTAATCGCATGCCTGATTAAATTACACTAAAACCTTCGAAGTCGACCACCTCCTAATCCTGACCGTTTTATTGATTGTCGAATTTTAGAGTATCCGCCGTGCCTTGGCTTGCGGTACCCAATCTCAATTGCGGCATCGGTTGACTTTGAATTCAGCCTGTGCTATTCCGATCACTGGGGCTGTATCTGTAGTAGAGGGTTTCGGTATTGCTTTCTTCCATTCCTACACTCCGTAACGCGTTTCGTCCTGATTTGGACTCATCAGCTAAAGATAACCTGCATTGGGGGTGGAAGAGGGCACCTATTGCTTTGCGGTTGTCGCCATGATCACTAGACAATTAAGTTCCGCGAGCAGAGCTTGACACCGCGGTTATACATTGATTGTTGCGGTTTAGAGTACCGTTTCCATTGCTTGAACCTCCACTATGTGAACTATATCTAATCAAATCTGTATTTTGACCAGTTTATTACGGTCCCTTGATTGGTCAACTTACTTTACTTACTGCAGGGAATGTTCATGTATTCGACTATGCACACGAAGCTTAGATGCGTATAACTGGCAAATCAACGCTTGACTATTTTGATGTGGCCAAGTTTCCTTGCCTATCGTATCCAATGTAAATTTCCTGTTATCCATGCCTTGAGCGGCCCTTCTATTACACTCCAGTATTACACGAGTGTTCTTTTGTTGGCTTACGCTTGCGCCGTCCGACTGAGGATGACTCACACTCATTCAGTCGCATATTTCCTTACTTCCAACATCCGTTCGTCTTATCTACCCACCCTACGTTTCCCGCAGAACCCGGCGGATGTGGAGAATCTGCACGAGTTGGACTACTACCCTGGTCTGGAAGTCGACGGAAAGAAGTAGTGAGCTGCGTTTTCCACCATGTTCACTACAACACTTATTTCTAAGTTTACTTATTTTGCAGATGCCCCCAATTGTCACACGATAAGTCCGTCGCAGCCCATATTCTCTTTAAAGCAAGGTGTCCATCCGTAACATTTTGTCTCTGTTTATACTTCAAATTGTTCCAATGGTCGCCTGTACATACATAAAGACGTGAAATTTGCGGAAGGTAAAGGTTAATGGAAGATAATTATTCATCATGGAAGTAGAACGATGCTGGAAACTGTACTGTACACAGTGGCAGACGACTCGCTGACCACATTACTCGAACAATACTGAACAAACCAGAATGCTTATTTTCCCTCCTACCGATTTAGCCTAATGCCATTAGAGAAAGCTGGAGTCTGCAAATTCTGATTTCTTCCGATTTCGAGTGGCAACGTACAGGTTCACAGGCAAATCGTCAGCCTTCATAAAGTTGTTCAGCTTAGGAACAAATGTACACCACTACTCTTGAGGTTGAGAAATCTAACATTTTTCACCCCTTGCTTTGTCGGTACTCGCTACCTGTTGAGCATTATGCTTCACATGGTTCAGCTCATTGTTTTATTCATGGTTAGCCACCCATTCACCATCTGAGCATTTTAGGCTATGTTCTTGGAGTTCTGCGGAGCGTCTAATAAGCGCAATACCCACAGGGACCATGTGACCAAATCGGTAGTCTTATGTTCTAATCGGTCTTCTCAGTACGCCATAGGGTTCCTGGACAGAATATCTTTTGTATAGTAATTTGCAAGCATTAGTCATTGGTTACTTTGTCTTGTGTGCGCTGTTTGTCTATGTCGAGGCTGGTGCAGCTGAACACCCTGTGACATCATGCACATTATCGTCACTTGTTGCAACGGTCTTCCCCCTCGTGCGAAGCATAGCAACATTCGATGATAACCAAGGTAAATTGAGGACTGGGTTACTGTAGATAAACTTAAATAAACATTTCTAGTCTCGGCAACACGAGGCACGCCTTTACAGGCATGATAATGTTATAATAACAAAGTGTGAGCAAAAATGTACACTCTTGTCATAACGTTGAATGTGGACATGGGTGTGTGTAACTGTGCATAGGTGTAGCTTTGTAGCTTGTGTTTGTAAGTGTACCATTGTATTTGTGACTGACAGCGTCAGCTATGTAAGAATGGACGATTGATGTCCATGGATTGTATGTAATTATCTAGATATCCGCGGGGCAGTGACTTTTGCTTGTAGCGAGTCACATTTGCAACGGCACAGTGTTGATAAACGGACATTTATGGCGTTTTATAGGGCGAACGCTTGCCAGGCGAAAACCCACCACGTTCTGGAACACTGCCGCCGAACTATTTGCTGGAGCGGGTTACACCCGAACCACCCAGCTGGCACCACGAGGAGATTGTTCGGCTTCTGCGCCATCCCGACCAGTTAGTAATACAGATTAAATTGATATCTGATCGAGTTAGTCCACCAGCCCGCAAAGAGGATAGCCCAGTTTCAATAGTATCTTAGTATATATCAATCAGTCGTCACGATTTTACTCTTGACGTTAATGGATGGAAGGGAGTGGCTCCCATCATCGGCATTTTTATCATATTCATGAGCCACTGCGCTGTAATGGTGGCGAAGCAGCACTATGTCATCACTTCAGTTAAGGTATTACTTTGATTCAGGTTACATAAGGGCAGTTTTAACCGCAGCTTGTGCCACAGGCTTTACGTAGCAATGCGTACCGAGGTTACACCCATGCGGCTTATGGATTTGTGCTACTTTAACCTATCTCCGTCCTCATAAACCGAACGGATTGAGACTGAAGACGCCAAGATCATAGCACCATAGTCAACTGTCTCTTGTGCTCTCACAATCGTGCAATAAAGCAAATGGCCATCCACCTCGAAATGACCAGAATGTAACCGACACAGTTATTCTCCATTCATACATAGATCTTGTGCATCCTTCATAAGCTATCTGGTTTATTCGACAAGAATTATGGTAGCCTGCGGGTGATACTCTTACTTTACTTACTTAAAGGGGGCTCAGTCAACTTTGTCTGCTTTCTGCTCAGTAATTTCACCTTTAAACATCGACGGCATGCTGTTTTTACAAACTGGCACGAAAGTGAGGTGAACAACGCTGACCAAATTAACTTAGTTATAAATCTAAGTGAGTTATTATCACCTACACCAACTGGCCGTTAATATTTCGTTGGTCCGTGTTCAGTTCGCTCGACGAATTTAGGTGGATAATTCACAACTGAACCTCATCCTACTCTGTTATCTTACTCTGTCGTTGTGGGTACATTGGAATTCAAGGCACATATGCGGGGATTCGTGGGTTAATTTTACCAATCGGTTGGAACCGAAGGCACCTGAGTCTATGACAAATCCTACAACGCTAAGATATTTCATAGGCTTCAACTTATCCAGGGAAACACCTGCTGACCACTTGCTCCTCTCTGTCGATGCTGCTGCATCTCTGAATTTGGCATGAGGCCCTAATACTTGATCAACCGTTGGATCACCTTTGGAGCACTTCACAGTCTTCTGAATCGACTTTGCATTGTGCTGGCATTTGGCCACCCCTTTATCGCGGTCGCAACTGACGCATTGTCTCCGCGATGGGGAATTTGTTAGTCATCTCGTAATAATGCGGATCTCAGTGAATGACGAATCCGCATCACATATTGATCAACGCTGAGATAAATGCTTGGCTATCCAATTTACCCTGGTTTTGTCTCGGAGAGTTGCTACCATCACCATCGATGCTATTCATTACGATGTTAGTAAACACAAATCTCTAGCTTCTCGGGCCACTCAGGATCAAAGGTACCGGGAATGCTATCACTAAGGCCACATGATCCAACAAGATTCTACATTATAACACACTTTGCTTTAATAAAGAAGTGTACTGTTCATAACCATGTTGGAGTGGAAAACAGTGGTTACGATTCGCTTCACTGGTTTTTTCTGGTTTTGGCGACATGACTCTCTTCTCCGGTTATTTCCCAACTGAAGAAAACAAACAATTGAAAGCATCTTCACTTGCGCGTTTCTTCCGAATGGTCATCTTAGAGCTTGAGTGGAGAAGAGAGCAATCGCTTGTAAACTGTACGAACACCACAGCTGTCGCGGAGCTAGGTCATACTCGGCAATTTTCCTTAACGAAACCCTACTCCCTTTTCTTTCAGAGGACTTTCTAGGGTTATACTTGTTAATTTGGTTAGCAAGACATCACATAAAATTTCGGCACTGTATTTGGAATCCGCTTCAATTAGTGCAAATTAAAATGAGTTATCATGAAGTTCTTTCAAGCCAGGAAGAACGCAAACAATAGCGCACATATTACACAGCTGAAGTGCTCGCGCGAACTCCCTTGAGGTTTCCAGGGTGGGTGCTTTGCTTTGGAATGTTCGTTATGTCGACTTGTATAGCCATGTTTATTGGCTTCTTCAAATTGTCCCACTATCACGAGCAATTTGAAGTGTACTCCCTTTACTTGCAACGTGTTGAGGTCTGAAGCCCATCATTTTCATTCATTCTTCTCGCTTCATCTTCCCCTGGAGTTATACTGCGTGCATTTTAAAATATGGTATCATGGGAACTACAGTGTGTTCCATTGCGCATATCATTATGGGTGTTTGTACTTTCTACAAGTGTCAGGTTAATCTGAATATAACGCCACATACAACTATGGGCATTGTGCTGGTATGCGCAACTGCGATATTCGGCTAACATAAACTCGTAGTTGTCTAATAATTCTGTTTATCTATGGACAGTTCACCGCTTCCATACAGACTTGGGAAGATGAATCCCTCTACTAATTTACTCTGCTTGAGTGAGAAATCCTCTACCCAAAAGTTGCTGGCCTAATTCCTCTCGCGAATCATCTATCACTTGACAATTGTTCTCAACAATTTCAACTTATATTCTGTCTCCCAAACTCCTTTGACCCTGACGTTCAATCCATAAATCGTAGAAGACCTTTAGTGTAATTTGAAATATCCTAAACGGAGCAAGGCTGGCTGTGATACCGTAAAGATCTGTTTCCTATTTCTTTAGGCGGTACTTATCCTGCTGTCCTTCTAGTACAGACAACGCATACTTTGGAACACAGTATCACGCAAACGAAATGCTATGAGTGTATGGCACATCATGCTATAATATCATCCAAACGAAGAACTATGGTCCTGTAGTTTGTTGAGAGCTGTCCAACAGCTGGGATCCAGATCTGTCGTGTGCCGTCATCGCGCAACACCTCAGGGCTCCGCGCGTGCTCTGTGCCACTTAGATTCACTGGACTTAACTCTTCATACTGAAATGATTGTTTTTAATGATAGGTACCTCCAACATGGAACCCTTTCAGATCAAAATGGTATATTGCTTACTCCGGAACACAACTGCATACGAATCTAGAAGAGACTCGTCGCAGTCAGTTGTCAGGCAGCCAGCTTCGTGTACGTCCGGAAATGCTCAGGAAGACCGTTTCATCCTGCTGTGACACGTCAATAGCGCGTTCCTTAACCGCTCTGGTACTCGAGTTCTCTGACCGTGATTTGTTTCACTAAGCAGTGGGTGACAAAAGCAGACTTCCATACCGGATTCCCAGCTGCGATAAAGCGTCGTTCATCATCCCCTTGCCATGCATGATGCGAGTCTGCACCTGACAGGGTTGGCCCCCAGAGCTACATAACCCCCTTCCAAACCGCTACAAATTGAAGTGGCATGCAGGTAGTTCCGGCAAGCCCCAAATGCTGAGGAGTCGTTTGTTGCAGCTAAGTATTTGCGCTACGTCTAAATCAACTTGAAACGCGCTGCCTGTAGCAAATAGCATTGTGGCCCAATGCTTCGTTAAGGCATTAGACTCACTCACCCACTACCGGAACAGCTGAGTCCCCGTCGTGCCCACTAACTCATTCCCGTTATACTTCGAACGCTCTCTGCTCGGTACCCTGTTTCATAGTGCAATACTTTGAGCATTTATATCTATCCACCGC